AAAATATCTGGAAAACTTCTGAACCCCTTATATTTAAAAATATATAAAATGATATTTCAATTATTCACTTGAACTGATTTTCAAATGTTAAGCAAACGACGGTAAAATTTAAAAAAAGGGGGGATGATGCATTGATTTATGTGATATTGCACATGTGAAGGTATGAAATGTGTTCGTACATAATAGCAAACAAGCTTTATGTTTTAAAATGAAAACAATATTTAATTTTTGTAAATTGTGTGATGACGTCACATTATGATTCATTATAAAATTTACGTTAAAGTTAAAAACAAGCAAACAAAACTTACATCAATAAGTTATGCAACCACCTCGGACCTTCACTTTACAGCTATTGCCCCTGCTTTCATTGAGGTGATCAACCATCCCACACGTTACCAATGACCATTCCTCCATTAGGGCAATTTCCAAACATCTAAGACTGACTGGAGGAGAAACCTATGCAAAGACAGCTCGCCCGAAAGCATCCTTGTAGATTTTGGATGAGATTAAGGTCGGGAGAATAAGGCGGCTACTACGTACGAGAAAGAATTTCATTCTGCAGGTAGTTCAGTAACTCTCACCTATTACGTGAATTAAAAGTTGGTTAATTATTGACATCTTACCAAAGAGATATCCATCATAATTTTTCCTTTCAGTAAGAGATGGTATGGTAGCTGCTGCAGAGAGAAGATGTAGTTGAGTTCAAATGCTGGTCTTGGTTCACTTAAAAATTAACAGCATTTACAAACGATCCTCTATTTAGGAACCCTTCGCTTTAGTTGAAACTCCCCACTTATGAGCACTTCCTGAATCTTTGGATCTTCGCAAAAAGAAATCAGTGCACTCCCATTTAATGGAAAACTACCCGGTAACTAACAAACTTTTTAGCCCATGAATGTCCGCTGACGAGATGTTTGAATATATTTGTTTTCTACGGGCTGTCAAATCCAGACCTTCATTATCTGAGCCTGAGCGATGTGGGAGTACTCCATTACATTTCGTTTAATAAATGATGTATGTAAGTCTTTACTTAAAAATAACTATTTTTTCTCCTAATTTATATTCAGAACGTAAAACAACGACCCTCTCTCAAATAGTTCATTTTATACTACTATCTAATTACTTCAATTGATACAATCTATTCTTATACTACACACGGTGTTCACTTACTTGGCATATGATCATATTTGGTAAAGTTCGCACTGTTTGTAAACAAGTTATTATGAATATTTTCATTGTTTTTCATCAATGGAAATCAATTATTCTATCCACATTAATCAACTATTCATCCACATTGCCATTTAAATTAATGGAAATGTGGGTAAATCTGGAAACTTTACCAGATTTTTCGAAAATGCTTAAGAATCTGAAGGAGAATACAACAGACTTTCATAGTTTTGAAATGAATGGTTCATACTGCGCTTTTTATATAGCAAACAGCTGCTCCAAAATTTTAAAAATTTGAAGCTAATTTACTTCTTTGGCATAGTAGTCTTAAAAATATTAATTGATAAATTAATTTTTCTCTCGATATTTATTCTTAGGTAAAATTTTAAATGGAAATTTTAATCTGACATTTTTTGAGAAAGCTATAAAAGCAATTTTGTTTGCTTATCCATCTTTCGTAGTAAGAAGAGTCACTGTAGAAAATTCAACTTTCATTTTCTTGGCATATTTTGATTCGAGCTCCTTGAAATCTGAAAATCGAATTTATAACAAATGAGATCTCCGAGTATGCCTAGAATATATTTTCTGCGTCCCAAGTGATATAAATCACTGACTCGTAAACTGCCTGCCAAATATTTTTAAATTCTTATGTGCATGTTTGTGAAGTGGAAATATTCTCTTTTTTGACGTTTTGAAAATCTGAATATTATTATATTTTACCTCGCATTTAGAAAGACCACTAAAGCATATTTTTTGCAGGGCTTTCTCGTTATAACGTTGAATTTGGGGTTAATATTTAACCCCTGATACATGGAAGTGAATTTTTTAATTGAAATTCAAATATTTACATAGAATTATCTTAAGAAATTTAATACGAAATTTAAAAATCTTTTTTTAGACATTGCAGTCTGAAAGTATGTGTCCTTTATATAACGCTGAGATTTGAACCAATATTAAATTCGTGTCTCTAAAGGAAGTCGAATATCTAATTCCAGAAACTGTTTAATACATTTAAGTTGAAACTTTAGTAGAAAAACAACAAACAAAAAAGAAACATAGAAATATTAATACATAAGAAAAAGAAAATAATTACATAATGATCGTGTTAGAGTACATATTTTTAAAACTCCTGCACTAAACTCTGAACTTGTAAAACAACGCTAAGAAAGAGACACTATGAAGGGAAACTTTGTAAAACTCGAGAAAAATGGGGATTTGAAATGATTTGAATAACTTCAAGCTAAAGTATTTTAATTCACTATTTTACGATGGTAATACTGCATCTGGTATGTACATGCCAAGTGTCATTTCAAGAATATAATACGTCGCGTTTTCTAGACATGCGCTTCAGAATAGGAAGCTTCCTTTGAGTATCATTAGCATTTCTTCTATCATCTTCAGAAACGGCAACACAAGAACAGCATCATCTTGATCAGTATCCTGATAAAACTAAAAAATTCGAAATTTAAGGCAATGCGGAAATTGTTTCGTTCTCTTTTTCAATTTAGCTGATTGATTTTGGTCAAATGCTCATTGCTCAGTTCCACCAAAGTGCTTATACAGTGAGATAACGTGGGTAATGTTTTCAAAAATTTGGAATTTATTTTCTGATGATTACTTCTAAGAACGCCATCATTTCCTAAAACTTCTAACTTCCAAGTTTATGGCTGCAAAGATGTCGCTGAAGTCCTAGGCACAATAATTGAATCTATTCACATAAAATGAGTCCTTCTCCTGAAAGTACGTATATACAACAGAAAAAGAAATAGTAATTGTTTGCGAATATTTACGCAATCTTTTATGCCTTAGCTGTCTATATGGTTGTGTGTGTGTGTGTACGAGAGAACATTCGCAATATTTATTTGTGGTTGCGTAAGAAGTATTAATTTTTGAGTAATGTTCTTATAATACCTTGATGAAATTAAACGTGTTTGTTTTTCAATTCAGGAAAAGCGTTTCGTCACCCGTGTACGAGGAAACCTGAATAAGTAATTTAATAAAGATAAGAAGTTGCAACATTTGCAAATTTTGTGGGTTTCAGAATCACATTTTAATCGTATTTAAATTGTTATTTCCTAATTTAATTAATTTATTTGCTGTAAAGTTTCTGGATTATTTTATGAATCTGAGACTTAATTAAATAAAGATTCATTATAATTTAGGAAAATACTTCTGTAAATATTATCTCTGCTTATTGTAAAACTATGTCGAAGTATTTCATTTAGTTCTAGACAGACTTTTCTAAGTTCTCTGTTTCAGTAGACTTTCGTTCAGATTTTCGAAGCTACAGTGAGAAAAACCTTTAATTAAAAGATGTGTTGTAATTAATTTCCGTAAGTGCATTTATGTCTTATAGATACATTTCTTTATACAGTAACGTTATATAAATTTTAATTTGTGCCTGACAGCCAAGTTTTAACGTTCACACTTATCCGTTTCAATACTTCCTCAGAAAACTTAATTTAACAATATAATAAATTGTCTTTTGTAACTATTATTCGTATATAATAAATTCGGCATTCTACAGTGTTCGAAAAGGTGGCTTACAAATTTTACTTCCTTGAATACTGATCTTATACATATACTTCCAGCTACAACGTTTATCAAAATAAATAAATAAAAGTATAAACCGTAATCATAAAAGCAGTTAGTACTATGTATAAGAATATTCTGTAAATATCAGATTCAGTTTTTAGTATGGTCACATAATAAAATATTCATCATGTTTTAATATGTTTAAATAAACAAAATGCTGATTTGCTCACCAAAGTCATAAATCTGACCAATTATAGCATTTCTACCGAGTATAGTGCATTTTATCAACGTGGAAACAATTTATATTTGGAGGTAGTACATGTTTGGAAACAATGTATAAGGTATTTTCATTTTTTCCTCCTTATTCCGTGCGTTCACTGTGTAACTGGATAGTACGCCAAGCTAATAAGCGGAAGATACGATATTCGGATCTCGGTTGCGGCACTGCCCATTTTTCACGGCTTCAAAAATATTTTCTGAATCTGCGAGTGGCGCACGAAATAAAAAGACTCTACAAATGATTAAGAAAATAAGAGTCTGCAGCTACTATATTTGAAGACTCTGTTTAAACTTTGTCGTATCTTTAGCTTTCATAATTCCAGACAATAAAAGATTTAACATAGATATTTGTAAACAAATTGTTATCACTCAACAATATTTATCTCTACCTAAAAAATAAAACAACAACAACAACCAAAAACAAAAATCGGTCATTTAACGTTTCTCAGATGTCACTGATTATTGGAAACTTCCTGGAGAGTTATTAAGTATTTGAAAAAAATAGCATTTTTCCATCTAATATAAAAAACAATAGAAAATTTCAACGTAATAGTTAGCACAAACACGCAAAAATTTTATGGCTGACGAAACTGTGATAACATATTTCCTCCTTATTCCGTGCTTAGTACAACATTATCTAAACGTCTTTGTAACAGTGTTAAACACTGTAAAAGTGCAGTGTTTGTTGTATTGAAGTGTAATGAAAGAATGTGTGTGTGGAAAGCACATGGAATCCTCTTGTTAGCCCCAACTCTCTTCTTCGGAACAAGCACTACAGCTTCCGCATCAAGCGTATACTACCTCAATAATAACGCTTTGGTTGAAATAAACTCAAACGGAACTGTAATTAGCTATACAAATTTTGCTACTCGTTGAATATTATTCAAAATATTTGTTATTTTTAAAAGCAAACTGTTATTTGATATACACATTTCGTTATTTTCTTTCCCTGATAAAGCTTTTGATATTACATTGTATACATTTTATAGTTCAATTGTTTTTCTGCGTTTTTCTTCTAGGGATCTCCTGGACCTGTTGGACCATCTGGCCCACCAGGATTACCTGGTTTAGTCGGATTTCCAGGACCTGCGGTACGTATGCAATTTAGGTTTTTACATGAAAAATAAATTTTTGTTGAGGAGAGAAAATGTAGTACGGTAAACCCTTCCGAAATACGCGAATTATTGCGAGTAAGGCAAAATCGCGTTCCGGGGAAAAATGAACTTTCCATGGACCTGTTTTTTTTCGCCTGTATAGTTCAGACTGAGAAAGTCTGTATAATTTATAAAAACCTAAGTAGGAGATCTGAAACAAATGTTATTGAAAGGATTTCTATTACTGTTTAATAAGTAAGTACATAATACTACTTTTTTAAATAAATAGTGATTTTTGCTTAAGACAAAGTCTGGACAGACTCATAAAACGTTTTGCCGTAAGGAGTGCAAAATTTTCAACTATTTCTTATAAAGTATCTTCTTATTTCTTCAATTTGGGTCACTTTCCATTGCATTGTTCCTGGACCATTTTACTTCCTTGTAAGAAGTAAAGGAAGTATTGCGATCACGCATAATTCCGATTACCATATTTTATATATTCAGTTTATTCAAAATAACCATTTTGACTGATATCGAATGTAATTTAACGTTGTTTTTGCGTGACATCTGTATGTAAGGGCAGAATAAACGACTTTTTTTCCCTAAACGATTTATAAAACTTATTTAAAATGGATTCAGACGAGATATTTTGTGGCGTCTGTACATACGTACGTGCGTACTACGTATCTCGAATTACTCAAAAACGAGTAGCTTTAGAACGTTGAATTTTTGTATATAGGACTGCTATATCATGTAGCTTATGTACCTCTCTTTTTCATGGCAATCGACCGCACCGAAAGTATGTAAATATATATATATATATATATATATATATATAGTGGGCATATATAAATATGTATATATAACCACTCTGTGATCTCAGTTACTCGGCTCCTTGAGCTCAGATTTTTATTCTTATATGTTAGTAAACTGTACATTTTTCGCTTTAAAAATGATTAAATTGTAATGTTCTTACCTTCCGATTAAGGTTTTCATGCTTTTAGTTTCTCTGAATGCAATAGTTGTACAATTATCAACAATTTAAAAATTGTTTAAGTGCGGCTAAGCCTGATTTTTTTTACCATAGCAGTCATATTTGTTTACATTTAAAACTTAGAATAATAGTGGATTTGTTTCCAATTTAGAGAAACTAATCCTCGTAGCAACAAAGATAACGTCTTTTTCATTATTGCGAATTAAATCATGCTTAATCCATTTAAGTAATTAAATTATCTAATATAGTATATTAACTCAACATAGCGTCCATTGCAAATTAAGTCAGATTTTACGCCTTCAATGTCTTTTTGCTGAATGAGGCCAAAAGTAAACTTGCAGTTTTGTGCACCGAAAAATCTGCCTTCTTGCCGAATTGTTTGTTTTTGCGTAGAAACTCTAATTTTATTTGTAAATATTTTTCTTTAAATTGTTTTAACTGTATTTATGTTTTATAATTTTCTCTATTTTTCAGTTTTTAATAAAGATGTTTTGACGTTTTATGTATTTTTGTCTTGTCGCAAAGTGAGAACTAAATTAATTGAATGGGAATATATTTCTAATGAAAGTCGGGGAAATAAATTTAAATTAAATGCAGGAGAAATGAATATAGTTTCATATTCCGTACATGTGGTCTACACATCAGATTTTTTAATAATTCGTTTAACTTCATGCAAAGTTGAAGGCTCTTTAATACATTCTCTGTTGGTGTTACAAGATCGTTCAGTTCTTCTATTTTTATTTCATGATCGTCAATCTCGACTAAGTGTTTGATTTCTTCTTCTTCCATATCCGAAAATCAATTACAGCCTGTTGCTTTTGAAATTTATACAAGTTCTTTGCCTTCATTTTCAATCGATGTCCTTTAACGTTATTGACTTCAAGTCCTTTAACATTATTGACAACTTCTTGCCAGCGTTGATGCCAGTAAGCATTCATTGTTGATGACACTTGTTTCCATGGGAATTTAATAATTTGTATGCGATGAATTGTATTGGATTGCTTCCCAAATGCTATTACTGTGTCGTGTTTTCCTTCGTTTAATGCTTTATTTGCAGAATCGTAAACATGCCTGACATAATAGGTTTTGGGTTTTTATCATTCCTTGTTACATTGGTTGGATTAAGGAAGTGATGTTAGGTGGAAGAAATAAATCTACGCATTTTGAAAGTAATGTGAGGGCTTCAGCACCGTCTCTTGGAGCATTATCGAGAATTAGGATAACTTTAAAGCTGAGATTTTGCAGCTCTAAGCAATGCTTGGCTTCTTTAACGAATGGATTTTCAAACCAGTCATTAAAGAGAACTATCGCAATGTGGTCGGCGCTTTTCAGCATACCTCAAATTATTGAAATTCTCGCATTGGGTCAATTAAATGGAGATACTTAAGGAAACGCTTGTACGCAAAATCGCATTCCGCAGGTCCACATTCGGCAAGGGCTTACTGTACATTCACACATATGCTAAAAAAGAATATGTAGTTTTATAGAAAGGCTTAACGTAAATTTGAAGACTTTAAACAAGAGTGTATGCTAAAAATGTCCGTTTAAAATCGACGCTTATGTGTTTCTCGAATTATGCATATGTGTTTCTCGAGTTATCAGTGATTTGTAGATAAACTAATTTATGGAACATTCTGATGCATTCAAATAATTTGCTGTAATGATATAATCACACACTACAAATGCGATAATTGAAACTATGCACTTCCCGTCAAGAAGAGCATAATCTGGAAACATATGTATCTAATTAAAATCATCAGTTAATTATCAGAAATTAAATACAAAATTAAAACTTCTGCATAAAGGTTACAGCATGCAATATGTAAATTAGAGAACTGATAACGTGTTGCACAATGAACCCATGCTGGAGTTTTGACGAGCAGTGTTATTTAAAGGTAATGTGGTTTAAGAGAGTTAGCAGTGTTCATTAGTTATTAATATTTGACATCCTTTAAATGAAGGGCAGAGGTGGTTAATTGATAGACTCCATCAGACAAACAAAATTAGAGATCGACCAAGCTCTGAATATCCCTCAAAGTGTCACACTAATTACTTATAACCATTTTTAACAAATTATTTAATAGACAGACTGGTTAAAGGCTGTCAAAAGCAACAACTGCATTCCAAGACGGTTTTCTGTCATTGTGATTTTGAAGAAACCTTGAAGTGACTGCAAGAAATTAAGATTTTCAGACTGCCACCGGAACTCGAATCAGATTAAATGATTTACCGACATTTGCTTTTAAAAGTATAAATTGTACATGCTATGACTATGAAATTCGCTGAGTATGTTCATAAAGCGAAATATTCTTGCCTAAATTTTAAAAAAAAAATGTTTTATATTGTTGCGTGCGTACGAGTTCGTAATCGACTGAATGCACAAATCAATAAAATTTATTCTTTATCACAAGAAATAAAACAAAATGCTGAAATATTTTCTCTGAGATATTAGTGCAATATATCACAATACTAATACAATAATTTCTACTAATACCTTAAATAGAACACAATTCAAAAACGCAGGAAAAGATAATCCGATCTCACTGCGAATTCGCTACAATCAATAACAGCACTAAGTAAACAACTGAACTGAGATGTTTTAATTCGGCTCGTATAAGCTTTTTAATCATGTACGAGAATATTCTGGTATTTTCTCGAGGTTTCTGGAAAGCAAAAGAGTACAGTTACGAGACAGCTGTTTATTAAATGTTAAATATGCATTCTCCTGTATTTTTACTTTTTAGGCGTAGCTTTCTCTTAAAACACGTCGCGCGTAGCATTGAAAAAGAAAATGAAACTATTTAATAACACATCTACTAAAAATAGCAAACTAAATACAAAATTCGTAACATTGCCCCCTTCGCAAGGACTGCACGTCCCGGGCAGCACAATCCCCGAACAGGAAACAGTCCCCGAACAGGAACAATCCACGAACAGGATGCTTACAAATAAAGCATCAATGCAACAATAAACTATGCATTACGGTAGCAAGCAACATAAACAATAATTGCAATAAGTAACTTTAAACAAATCAAATACTAAATGCAAATAAAATCAAATACACAATTAGAAAAAAAAAAGTCCGTGTTCTTATACTATTTACAATTATATACATTACGTACTATAACCATAGTAAGGACTATGGTACTATGGTACTATAACCATAGTAAGTAACCATAGAAGTGTTATTAAATAGTTTCAATTTCTTTTTCAATGCTGCGCGCGACGTGTTTTAAGAGAAAGCTACGCCTAAAAAGTAAAAATACAGGAGAATGCACATTTAACATTTAATAAACAGCTGTCTCGTAAGTGTACTCTTTTGCTTTCCAGAAACCTCGAGAAAATACCAGAATATTCTCGTACATGATTAAAAAGCTTATACAAGCCGAATTAAAACATCTCAGTTCAGTTGTTTACTGAGTGCTGTTTTTGATTGTAGCGAATTCGCAGTGAGATCGGATTACCTGTGGTAATGAATGACTTTTAGACTTTGAGTTCGATGGCTTACGGATTTGAACCACGACGTCGTTCAGCTTTTTTAAGACTGTATACGGGCCATCCCAAGGTGACTGTAGTTTCGGACAGCGTCCTTTCAGTCGAGTCGGATTCCACAACCACACCTTGTCTCCTTCGTTGAATGTATGTCCTGTAGCTCTGGTATCGTATCGGGTCTTCATCTTCTGCGTCGCCAAGTTAACTCGCTCTAGTTCAAACTTATGTATCACTTCAAACCGGGCCTGGAGATCTAGAATGAATTCCTCAAGCGATGAAGGCGTATCCAGAGAGCGACCAAACAAGAGATTATAAAGCAGACGAAGGTCAAGGCTGAAGAGCATCTGAGATGGAGAATAGCCGGTAGTCTCGCGGACAACACTGCGGTAAGCGTATAAAAACAGTGGCAACTTCTTGTCCCAGTCCTGCTGGTTTCTGGAAATCACCAATGAGAGGTTATTAAGGGATGGTTCGATTGAACTTCTCGACCATACTGTCCGACTGGGAATGTAAGAGCGTCGTTTGGGTTTTGTCAATGCCGAGTAGACTGAATGCCTGAATTCTTCGAATGAATGCAATTTTGTACAATAAAAATGGATTATTGAACGATAAATTGTAAGACAAGCAACGTCTTTTTTTAAAATCCATAGGAATAGAAAGATATTTATTACATCAATGAATCTGTAGTAAATACCGAGTTTTGCATTTCTAATGCTATGTTATATGTATGCGAAGTATCTGAGTATCTAAGAAAATAGTCCCAAACCAAATGGCTTTCAACCTTTTCACATCTAAAGGACTGTTTTTCAATTACATTGCAATCGCTGCTTTTTGGTTAATTTTTCTAATGTCACATAAACATTGAATTGTTTTTAATTTGAGACTTATGAATAAAATGACACAAACTAGACTGCAGAAAATTCTTCAGAATCAAGTTAATAGTACTTAAAAATAAATTATTGATGCACTTTTTGGTTTTATATATAGTACTTAATATGGAATCCTTAAATAATATTCTATAGGTATATATATATAAATGGAACAGAGTATAGAACAATGTATAAAATATCAATTAAAATATTATTGCGTGCATACGGGTTCGCAATGGATCGAATGCGCAAGTCGATAAAAAGTTAATAAAATTTATTCTTATCACGAGAAATAAAACAAAATACTGTTTTAAACTACTAAAACGTTAAACAGAACACAATTCAAAGCATAGAAAGCTAATTCGATCTCACCGCGAATTCTTTACAATCAATAACAGCACTAAGTAAACAACTGAACTGAGATGTTTTAATCCGGCTTTTATAAGCTTTTTAATTATGCACGGGAACATTCTGATATTTTCTCAAGGTTTCTGGAAAGCAAAAGAGTATAATTACGTGATATCTATTTATGAAATGTTAAATGCACGTGCTCCTGATTTTTACTTTTTCGACGTAGCTTTCTCTTAAAACTCGTCGCGCGCAGCATTGAAAAGGAAAATGAAACAACTTAATTACAATTCTAATAAAAGTAGCAAACTAAATGCAAAAACCGTAACAATATTCATTTCAAATAACTCCTTCGTTTTTTGAAATGTACTTTTGACCACGACTATACAGTTCCTGAAAACTTGGAACAAATTCCCCTTTCAGTATCGCATGAAAAACCTCCGTTATTTGGCTTTGAACGCCTAGAATATCCAAATAAACATTCTCATTTTAGATTTCATTTCAGGTTTGGTAACAGAAAGAAGTCTATTGAAGCAGGATCAGATAGTTCTGTAGATGATCGAGAGCTGTAGTTCTTCTACAGGCCATAAATTCTTTCATGGTGAAGGCCGAATGTTTCCAGGCAGTATAATGAAGAAAGAACGAACAGTCCAAATTGCTTTTTTATGGACGTACACGACAGATCTTTGCCTATAAATTTGCCATATCTACATTGTCGCTTTTTTCGTCTAAAATTACCTTCACTTATTTAATGCATTCTTCCCAGAAGTCGAGTCTGTCTAGATTTTTACCTAACCAGAATGATGGGATTGCTTCCAGTCGATCCGCGGGAGAAACCTTAAAGATACTTTATATATGTAATCCCGTTTCATCCTGCCATATCTTTCATCTTCAGATTTACTAATCTGAAAGAGAACTTTAAATTTATCTACTGCTTCATTTCACAACCACTGCTGCACTTCTGCATAGTAGAGTGTTCCTAATAGAAATACACACTGCTTATTTACTATGCCATCCTATTATACTTAATGACATCATTCCCAGAACTTTATTGTCATACCTTGTAGATTAAATTATTTCAAAGTCTACAGTGCTATGCCTAAAACTTTTAATAAGTATTTTACTTTCAGGGTCCTCCAGGTCCACCAGGGCCACCAGGGCCAAAGGTAAGGTTTAATTATTTATTTACTTTTTTTTTTCATGTGGTGTCATTAAAGGTATGCTAATACATTTTAGTCTCAGTGCAAAATATGTTATTTAAAAGCATTCGCCGAAAATTCTTATAGGGCAAATAAAAAATTATGTTTTATTAACTATGGACGTAACATTCATCGGAGCGCACATGCATGCTGCAGTGCTTCTTACTTTTCTGGAAGCTTTTATAGAACGTGTTTATTAATATCTGTTATACATTAACCATCGCGTAGTTTTGGATGTTTTGAACTGTCTGAAGTATAGAAGTAAGAGGATAAAATTGCTGCCGAATAAAATAGTTAAGATTATAACAAAGATTTTTATCTTATTAAAAAATCCATACGTCTTTGCTCAAAGTACAGTATTTTCTTGACTGCTTGAAATATGTTTTAATTCCGTTTGGTCTTCAGCATGAACTTTGCTTTTTTAGATAGCGTTACCTCATAAATTTATTTTCTATAGAGTATCTTCTTTAGCTTATGTTTTCTAGCAGCCAAATCTGGTAGGGCAAGTTTCATGCACCTGACATTACCAAGAACCCTTTAAACAGATCCATCGTATATATTACATAGCATCACATTAAATAAAACCATTACTGATATTTTTAAAGTATCTGAGAAAACCAATTTTTTTAAATAAGTAGTACTGAAAAACTATTCAAGAAAATATAAAAAAGCCTACGAAACTATTTTGGAAACTTCGGGTAATATGAGATTTATGTTCCTGGTTTTTCATTTTTATAATTGATGACCTTAGATGATAATATTAATAGCACTTTAATTATTATCGTTACCTGTTAGCTGCTTTAATGTATTATTAATCATTTTAAACGGGTATTCTTTCCGTGCTGTTCTATAATAGAGCATTATATGTTATTAAAATATTTCTTCTGAGTAATAAATCATATTAATGACATTTTGATATTATACTTGCTGAAAACATGCTGTTTCATATTTGATGCTTTAACGCATGTCAAGTTAACTGAAATTTGTGAGATAAAATGCGATTTATTCTATTCATTCAGATAATCAGATATTTATGCAGTCAGATGCGATTTGTTTCTCTACGTGTGTTGCTCTTTTGTTCATAGAAACAATTCACGTTGAAATTCTCTGTTTCAAATAGGCTTGCCATTTATTTAGAACAATATTATATATTACTTGTTCAAAGGATGCTTATTATAATTTTATAGTTATATTGTTTAAAGATTTTAACTAACGATGATCAGAGTGGATCAGGCAAGCATATAAGTAAATGTGTATGGAAATGTTCGAATGCATTACACTCACTTCCAAAAGTTAAGCACGGAGAGGAAAATGCTAATTTCCGGAAGCCAATCAGAATTGAAGATGATGCGATTTGCTTCAGAGGTAGATGGAAGTATGCAAATATGTTAGGTAACAGCCAAACGTGCTTTTATGTCAAGAAATATGCAAAAAAGGCAGTCTTATAAGAAGCCAGATTTATGAAGGGTTACAGAAGTTGATTCTAAGTGCTGATAGAAGGTGTTTAAAACTTTCGTACAATTTGTTTTCATGACATACGTGTTTCTATGACTTCCAGAAGACAAATGGAAGATTCTGAGCGCTGGCGTGCTGTGGGCCGCATTGAAGCAGGACAGTCGATCACAGATGTTGTTCTTTTCTTCGGCGTTCATTATTCTGTAATTTCATGTTTATGGAAACAATTCCAAACCACACAGACAGTTGTCCGAAGACCCGTAGCCGGTCGCCCAAGGGTTACAACTCCCGCGGAAGATCGATATATTGCTAGTGTAGCCAAGCGGAATCGCAGAGCGACCTCCACAAGTGTGACATCTATAGTTACAGCGTCCATTGGTAAGGCGATATTTGCAGCTACTGTACGCCCGGGTACCTCTAGTTTGTGTTCGTCTATCTGTCCAATCAAGACGGGCACGATTACAGTGGTGCCTGGAACATGTCAATTGGAATATGTCTGACTGGACAATGTCATGTTTAATGATGAGTCAAGATTTGCTCTGGAGCCAGATGAGAAGCTTATAAGGATATGGCGTGAACAACGAACACGCAATCAGTTCGAAAACATCACCGAACATGACGCATTCTGAGGCGGAATCATTATGGTGTGGGCAGGGATTTTATTAGGATACCGTACCGACCTGCACATCTTTAAACGGGGTTTTTTGACGGTTGTCCGGTATCGAGATGAAATTATAGAACCCATTGCGAGATTCTACGATGCAGCAGTTGGCCCTACTTTTGTTTTAATGGACGATAACGCACGTCCCCATAGAGCTGACATCTTTGATGACTACCTGGAGAGTGAAGGGATTGCGCGTATGGCGTGGCCAGCATATTCGCCCCACCTTAATCCCCATTGAAAATCATTGGGATGCTCTCACTCGTATCGTATCTTCCCGTTTCCCACCTCCAGCCACTCTTATTGAGCTGGAAACTGCTCTACAAGAAGAATGGTGATTGTTTAATTCTGCGGTGGTTGACCACCTAATTGAAAGCATGGTCACAAGGTGTAAACTTTGTATACAGATGGGGGGATCACATACCCCATTAATGTCCTTTTTTTCATTTTATGCTGTTTATTTTCACTTTATACATAATTCTGTTTAAGTCTCCAGTATGTCATTTACTGATAACCTACAAAAAATTTAGTATTGTTTTCATCTATGTATATAATTATTGATTTTGTTTTATGCATAAATATATATGCTACTTTCCTGCCAAATTTTGTGTCAATCAAAGCAGTATTTGTTGATTTGTTCTGCATTTTACATCTTCGTGCTTGACGTTTGGAAGTGAGTGTATTTAACGAATTAATTGGGTGTATCTATATTTTTGTATTTCAATTAACATTGTCTAATTCGTTTCTCTTTTAGGGAGAAAGCAATCTTGTAAGTTATGATATCGAAGGTTTGGTGTCTTTACCAGGACCTCAGGTGGGTAGGAAAGAATTTTATTTCAATTACATGGAATATTTAAAAAACAAATTGCCACTGCAAAAATTAAATGTTTGATTTCCTATTACAAAATAAATTGTTTAATTTTTTACGAAGGTTTGAATACTATTAATGAACATAATATTTTCTTTTTAAGGGCAATTCTGGTGCAATGGGCCCGCCAGGAATGGTATGTATTAGCATTAATTCAGCTGCAGCAATATTACAGTATTTCTTTTGTCTTATTTTAGACTTTATAACACATGTACTATTAAGTTGTCTTTAATCCCACTTGTCACTGAGTAGATTCATTGCATTTTCACCACATTCAGAGTAGATATACTAAGATAATTTAGTGTAAGCCTCTATTAACTTACAGACTTCCCTGCGGTAATTTTAGTTTTGAAGTCTAATTCAAGACAGTTTTTGACGTTTAACCGCAGCCGAACAACACAGAACGGTAGGAAAAATTTCAAAGGGACACCAGAAATTGTATAATATCCCTATGACGGCTATTTGTACACTCCTGCAACAGTGAAAGAGTTTTTGTTAGGGTATGATTCAGCTACCAGCAATCTGTGTGCTGAAGTATATGTTTCTCTGTTGCTTATATCTGCAGCAACACTTAATTAGAGTTAATCTTCACAAGAATGAGATCTCTACCTGAGCGTCAAATGTAAGAACTTTATAAAGTGAAAAGAGCACCTTAGGCATCATAGGAAATAAGATTTCACTCATTGAAGTGACGTCGTACTTTTGGTTAGTATCGTGAGTTACAGCCTTGTGAACAGCTGCGTCCACTGCGCACCAGTATCATTGTCAAACTTTACCCCTCGTCTTACATAGCGTCTTTTGACAACACTGAATTGCGCATTAGGTGCATTTTTTTCAGTTCCTTGAAAACAGTTTAAGACACCATGTGCTTTCAGCGATTCGTCAAAAATTACTAAAGCTGCAGCTGAGAAGTTTCCCTTTATTTGCAATACAGCACATACCCAAGGTTCTTCAATACATTCCATACCTACACTAACAGACTATTTATATTTTCCACTCGCTGATCTGCAGTGCTCATAGGACAAGCAATTGTTTATGAACATTAGCGAATGAGTGTTTGGTAGATATTTTCGTTTCTGAAGCTATCTTAATTCTTTAGAGGTGGGATCAAATATCTGCCTCGAATGTTGTAGAAAATCGCCAATGCCAGAGATGCTTCTGTTCATAAAGATGAACATATGATTCTGTACAAAATAAGTTTTGCTTGTATACTCTTAAGGCGGCTGAAGCTTTCCCAGTAAACTAATGTAAGAATTTTTACTCCCAAAGAACTAACAACTATGAAGTTTCACTTGTTTATGATTTGAGTTTCTCAGAAAGTAACCATGAGCACATTCAAATTACAATCCGAACCCTATATTTTAATTAAGTTTTATTTTTAAATTTCACGTAGCTAAATAATTTGAAAATCATGCCAAAAATGAAATTGGATACAAAAGACACATTAACTGTTTTAAAACTAACTCAATAAAGGAAATTATTATTAAAGATTATTTTCGCGCACATTTTTGAGAATAATAAATACATATTAAGAAGAACATTTCTAGATAGAAAACGCTTAATTTAAATAAGAAAATTTTAAATGTTTAAACTGCGTGCGCTTCCTCCCAAGAGTAATTATGAATCTGAAAGTTATCCGTAAGTCAATTTATTATAAATAGCCTTCAGTTAATTTTCCAAATCATATTTGTAAGTGAAATATAAAAGTGTTAAAAACTTATAATTGCTGAGGGAATCAGAAATCCCATTCTTATTATATTTCTGCTTCATTATTAAACAAATGCTTATCCATATTATTAGTCTCGGAAACCGTGATGTAAATTAATAATTATAGACGTTAATTATGAAACCAAAGGCATATGAGTCATATAATTCTTCATTAATAACACAGAATGTAACTTAATAATAGATTAAAATCACTTATCATGAGTCAATCTTTACGTACTAACGTGAAAAATATTTACCAATTTTTTTTTGTTTGTTATTTACAATCATAGTACCTTAAATTACTCCTAAGAATAAAATTATTCGTTAATATAATTTAAGTGCATTCTGAAGATATCTAAGTTTCATGAAAAATTCTTTGATTCTGGGCAATGAAATTTAAATTATCTAACTAGTTATACATTTTACAACCATTTCGTATTTTTCTTCCCAGGAAAGAGTAATGAATTTTACCAATCATATCACATGAATAATTTATCAAAATGATGTTTTGCGTTAAAAATAAAATAAAAATATTATTAAGTTCTAGTCCATATTTATGTATTTAATACAGCTTGCTAAATTTAATAATTCCTTAACAGCTTCAAAACAGAATGTTTAGAAAGTCTGTTAACGCTTTTTAGAGGCTCTTAAGTTTATTCAGAGCAGAAAACATAAAAAATTAAGTGTATTCTCTCCAAGATTCGAGCTATAATTTCCACTTCACAAACTATAAGGCAAACTACTAAAATCATGATAGAGTACACGGCAGAAGACAACCATTCCTTATATGCTGTTCTGGCTTTTTCTTGCATGCTGCAGTTGTGGTGTAGTGATTATCACATTCTGGGAGAAATTAAAGAGTCCCCGGTTCAGTTCCTGCCATGAAGATAGTTGTTTATCAAATTTTCCTGCTGCACGAGAATCTGAATTACTATACAACAGGGAGTAAACATCACGTGACAATACGTTTTGAGGTAATTTGATTTAAGAAATTCAGATGTGTAAATTCAAATGTATAGGATGAACTTTTTTTATCCTTTAAATTAAGAAATCAATCCGTAAACTATTTTTGAACTCACAGCGACTTATTTAACGTAAAAAATTTCGACACGACATGCTTTACATGCTTAGGAATTTACTGCAAAATTCTTTATTTCAAATAAAAATTCAAAATACTTTCCTCATTTTCAAAATTGTCTTAAAAAGTAAAGAGAGTAACTGTGATTAAAATTCCTTTATTTTGTATGTAGCCTGGTGAACGTGGCCCGCCCGGAGAAAGAGGCTCCCCTGGAACAGCTGGACAAATAGGAATGCCTGGTCCTGCTGGTCCCCCCGGCATTCCAGGTAACCCTGGGAATCGGGGTAGTCCAGGAATGCCAGGTTTACCAGGTCCGCCGGTAAGTAATTCAATTAACTATTTCTTTTAAATGGGAGATCCAGCGTTCGCTTAACAGAGCTTCTGACATAATTCTAATTGATTTTCCATTAGTTTCATTTGATTAAAGAAGTTCGAACTCTTCCCTCGGAACTTCGAAAGGAAAGATTAAAAGTTATATTTCTTTTTCATACCAAAGTACTTTTTCCCCTCTTGTCCGTAATATACTTATTTTTGTGACGTAACTGGATTTATATTGTAGGGAAGGGGATTTACAGAAGAAGAAATGCGAGAAATATGCGCTTCAGTCTTAAGAGGTAATACTTATAATATTTATATATTGTGTTTGAATATTAAAAATAATGAATAAACTCTCTTCATATAAATATAAAAAGAAATCATAGTTTATTGTTCTTGTAGATAATAAATATATATATAACGAGCTTATATTATTTTAAATATATTTAGTGTTTTATCATATCCTAAATTTACCGACCATGGTGAAATTATATGTTCTTTTATTTTAGATTTGTACTGTACTGTAGCTTCTTTCCAAAAACTAACTGGAATTACTTAAATTTCTAAATTAATTAATTCTGAATTTCTACTTAAATTTAATTTTTAATTTCTTATTTTAATCATAAACAGTATCTGTGTTAAACTATTGTCAATTGATTTATTTAAATATTAGCCGATTTTATTTACTTTATTATTACATTGATTAAGTATTAGATTATTTTATTCGTGTTATTATCATACTATTTAAATATTAGACAATTTCATTTAGGTTGCTATTTTACCACAAATGTTATTTTAAATAAAAATAGGCATTTAAGTAATGTTAATAAGAAATGTTGAAATAAGCATTTCAAGTTCATTTTTTCTTCTAATTTGCTTTATAACCATGGTAGTGACAGCTGAGGTAGACGGTAGAACAACCTGTTTTTCTCATTTAATTTCTGTTTAGTATGTTTCGCTTGGTGAAAAGAGTTCGAATGAAAGTTGACTTGAGGTTCAGTCTCAAATGAGTTGGAGAAAATAAGTGCTCCTTGGTAATGACGATACATGTTTTTACGATCGCAAATGAGGAAGAGTCGGAAAGACCTTAAAGTGCCCGTTTTAAACTAACGGACTATACTATGTGACAGAAAACTAATAAAAATTTTAAATTAATGTACTATTCTGAAATGCACAAGAGAAATTATGTACATATATCGGAACCACAGTATTTAAGCAACTTTTCAGCGTACGAAATAGGAATTTTCTTTTAACTATATATATATATATATATATATATATATATATATATATATACATATATATACTTACTTTTCCTCTTTCTGCATAATGTTTTAATGAAATTTCACATCTAATTAATCTATTTTGATATGTATATAAAGGCTAAGAAATTAAAAATTGAATATTTGAAATACAAGTACTTTAAAAACATACAGGTACGTACTGTAACATGTAATAGTAAAAATCACATCAAGAAATAGAATTAATAATTTAATCTCAGAGAGTGTACATGCCATCCTTTCTTCACAAATATAAAATTTTCTCAACATATTTTCATGATAACAACTGATCTGAAGCACATCGACAATCCGAAATTTGCAGTATAATCGGTCTGAGCTAGCAATTCCTTCATTCTAAAAGTATAGTATAATTCCAGACAATACTATTCTTTACCCTGTCTGACAGTCTTTTGCTTGATTAGTGTCTACATTCGCAATAAACTTCCATCCATCCTGGTCAGAATGCGAAGGTTAATATACCGCAACGTTTGATCTTCTCAATCAAGGCCAATTAGCAAAGGCTTGTCTACGTCTTTGACTGGTAAATCTGAGGCAGATGGATAAAATACATCACTAGCTCGAGAGTTTAAATTTCACTGTCTGGTGAGAGAAGAGTTTCATTGAAAAGCATAACCTTGTTTGTCTACGGACCTTGACAGATGCCTGTGGAAATTGGCTAGAGCACAAATGGATAGAGGTCTAATTCCCTAAATAAATCGTGAACATTTGGATTGCATCGTCTTTTAGAGTCGACAAATCTATCAGTGTGAATGCTCTCGCCAGCGATAACCATTAAGAGAAAATAAATCTTGGAGATCGTGATATTCTATTCCTTGAAGTGTTGTTCGGTCAGAATTAGTATCAATTAGGCAGATAAGTGCAGTAATCCTTTCCTTAACAGAATAAACAAATTTAATCTAATAATCCTTCAAAGTAAAGATTCTTTTAGTAATGTTTCTAATGTATTAAGAAAAGTCTAAGTTAGAATTTTTCATTTAAATAATCTCTCATTCTATAGTGATTTCCTCGAAGATCTGTTACGTAAACGAAGTGCAATTTGCAATGGAGAACTCAGAACAATAGTCGACACTTGCGGAATATTGGTTGCTATTTGACAAATTGCGATTAAAGCTATGCTTAGTATGGTAAATAACCGTATTCACTCACATATGTCCCTCCCTCGCTGCTTTTCCTGCCAGTATATCATTTGAAAACTTCTAATTTATGGTTACAGTGTGAAATGTATTCGCAGATAGGAAAGTACTGTGTTAAGTACAAAGAATATCATTGAAAGTCATAATGTTAATTTACTTTGAAATATGCAATACAAGTGAAATATGTAATACAAGTAAATGTATATAAACGTTCGTCTTAAATTCATAATTTGTTAATTTAAGCTTTCTTCACAGAAGTGATTAAACAACGTATAAATTTCCTCCTCCGGTTATCAAAAAATAAAATTACCAAAAATGATCTAAAACTTTTTATCAAAAAACGAAGTTACTAAAAAAGAGAGGGAGGTTACGCGAATAAATACAGTATAAGTTTAGTTTGCTATGGACAAGAAATATTATTTTTAGATTTATCTATGCATATACACACATACATGTCATATGTATATATATATAGAAACACAAACACACATAGTAAAATACGAAAAAAGTGTAAGGTGTTAAAATAGACTTTCTAAACAAAATAGAAATATTTTTTTCTGCTGAACATAATTTCATTTATTATTAGTTATATAGATGCATATATATATATATATAAGACGGAAGTGAGGGAGAGAGGGACATAAGATTTAATGCAAAATGTAAGCATTATTGAGGCAAATGATTAGCTGGGAAAAAGACAGCTCTCATTCATAATAGGTTGTTTTACCCGCGATAAGTAATAAGCAGTGCTGTTAATCAAGAGACACATTTAAATTAAAAACATTCATGTAGTGCCCAGAGCATGCTATTACAGAAATTTCTATTTCACGATTATTAGAAAGTACACTCTTAATGCACAAAAAAGAACAATGAGATTAAACAGAAATTTTATCGACGTATGTAGACCTGATTGATATGTTTGTTGGCAGAGCAATAGGGAAATAAGGAAAGCTGTTCAGTACGCCTTTTGTCATATTCGATACAGCATCGCACTGTCTCATGCGGCAATACATGCTTCAATAAAATCCTATACTGAATCAAGCAGGTGTTTGGTCTCCTACGGCAAGAATGGACAATATCTCTTGAATGATATCTTCCAAATCCCAGGTATTGCGGCATGACATTTTAGCTGGTCATTTAGCTGGTCATTTTAGCTGGGCATCAGACATTTTAGCTGGTCTAGTATCGGCTCAGTAGGTGATATGCTCGGTGAGCGGGCTGGCAGTGGCTGTGATAATATCTGGTTACAATGTGGCCGTGAACGGTTGGGCCTCAACCTGCTGTTGTATCGCATCTGGAATATTTACCATAAAAAAGGAGATTAAGATCACATCTTCGTACTTCTAGGTCATCACTGTTTTATGTACCATTGCTAAAGTGGATAAGCTGTCGTAAGCTATGGCCTTTCAATCCATAATGCTGTCAGTGGGATACATGTGCCGCTCAACAGCGACGCTGAGTAATTTATGGAATCTTCATCCACAGTTGAAAGCAGTTATCATCTGTCCTTAAAAAGAGGCTCCGTAACAGGCGCTTTAATCATAAATTCGCTTTCACAATACAGTGGATCGTGGGGATAACGAAATTGTTACATGTGTCTGTGAAGTAGTCTTCATCAGTGAGAAATCTACACATGTCTGCCGCATGATCCTTCCGTTTCTCTACCAGTGGAACCCATGATCTGTCCAGAGTATTCCTTTGAGTGTGCCGCTATTGAGCTATATGACGCGCCGATCACGATCACTGTGCATGTTTTTTAACCCAAAGATAAATCCCCTTTTTGGAGACTTTAACAAATCGACGATTTTGATGTCCAGTTGGCATTCTTCTCATCTCGTACTTTCATTTGCACCTACCGGTGCTGCTTTTGTTTCTGGGATGTCGACTAAGAATCCCATAAGACCGACTGCCAGTCATGGTTGTTCGTAGTGCCTCTGTAAATTGTACTACCATGCACATTTGTATGAAATCGTTACTATTAACATACCAATTCGTACTAAACCTACTTATATAGTTTCTCAGTTATAGGACATTTTAATTTTATGACGTGGATTTTATTGGCTATGAATGTAATTGAACATTTTGCTTATATGAGAAACCGCCCATGCTCTTTTTACAATACACATAACTTGTGTTTGAATATTCACACTTGCAATTCTGGCCTTGAAATGTTTATTCTCACATTTTAAGGAAATTACCATCTAAACAGAAAATTTAAAAATAGAAAAGAGCTAAAATATTTGTAAAAATAATATTGTAATCTTTAAGAAAATCATTTGTTCTTCAGATTATCTAATAAAATTTTACTAATGGATGACAAAAAATTCCTTTACTAGCTATATAATTATAAGCAATTCAAAAAATATAAAGCATTCTTTGGTAAAAGAATTTAAAATATGTTTAAATACCTTAATAGAAATATCTTTAATATCTGTAAATATGTAAAAGGAGAATTAGTTCATTATAATAAAATGAAATGCACATTTTTAGGGCTATCATTCATGAAAATCATTTAGTTGAAATTTACGAAATGTTTTTGCATACTGTAGGTTAATTAAATTATAAACTGGTATGTAATGTTGTAAAATTCATAGGTTATAGAGTAAGCATTGAAATTCTATTCAGATACCTACAAAGTAGTTTTAATTAATTTATACCATTTTAATGATTATCTTTATTGCAAACTGTGTACATTTTAACTCAGCAAATTTATTTGCTTATTGTAGAACAATTAACAGAGTTAACTGCGAAGTTAAGAGGGCCTCCAGGCCCTCCTGGTCGTGGCAAGCCAGGGCGTCCAGGCCCACCAGGTTTCCAGGGCCCATCAGGTATTAATTCCTTCTGGGAAAAATTTTTCACATTTACTGTTTTCATGGTGAAATCGTTTCATTCTCGTTTCCATCACACAAGATTTATTTTACTCATTACGCATATTGTCTTAAGTAGTTAATTTTATAAAATCAGTAAGTAAGTTCAAACAATGTTTTTAAACATTATACTATTTCTATATTTGATATTCCACAACCAGACTCTACATTCTCTCAAATTGTATGAACCTTAAATATATATGCACTAGTTATGCCAAGAACTATCTTTTAAGTAAGTTAATTCATCAAAAAAATATATATATATTTCTTGTTCGCCGGAAAAATGAAACGTTATAATTTAAAAAATATACATCCCACTTAAAATAAATATATATGTCTTAGACCACTGCAAATAGAGTATCCTTTCTTGAACTCAGATTTTGGTTTTTGGAACGTTTGAATATGTAAACTAATAATCTTAGGGTTTATGTTTGGTTCAAAACTTGCTTCAGTTTTATATATGTATAATAAACATAGTATAATTATGAATTTATATAATATTTTAAGAATAATTTATACTGAACAAAGTCTATAGTCATTTAGCAGTCAGAAGTAAAATGTTTAACAATCTAAAGCGTCCCATGCAGACAATCGGTTGACGTTTGCCATTACCATCATCTTTCTTGATTTTGAATATATTCGACATCTTATAAATAATGAAATTTTTAGATTTCTTTTAGTTTCCAAATTTAAGTAAGAAAGTTTTTTTTAAATTGAAATTTACCGTCGTTCATCCTGTGGTAGTTTCACAGTAGTTACGATGAGATTCCACCAGAGTTTGTAGGACGCCCTCGTCGAGATCTACAGATCTTTCAGAACGAAGTTTACCTTTTAGGCTGTATTTTTCGGCTAAAAATTTCAAGAAACACCAATAATACTAGCTTATGGCCAGTCCCCATATATTACCTTAATATTCCTCTTAATAATTATCTAATTGAACTCAAGAATCACAATATACTACTTTGTCACTTTTATTATAACTTTGAAAATGCAGTTCTTAAAGTTAAACTGCACTGTTAAAAGCTTGAACTAAAAGAAAGAATAAAGTAAAATTACTACCTGCATTTATAGCTGATTGATGCAGGCATTTTATCTCGTTCTCTTCCAACCTTCAGTTAAATGAGGGGAGAGAAGCATTCACAACTGAAAGAAACCACATTATTTATGGGATGATCCATAATATTTTCCTCCTAAACTCTCAATTATTCATTTATAAATAGTTTTGACTAAATAGAAAACAACTCTCTGTAACTATTTGGCAATACAACAAATCTTTATTGAGAGTTACGAATGGTGATATTCAGTTTTATCAAAGAGAGGAACTAAGGAAAAACTGAGAATATTCATCCCAAATCTGTGTTTCTTTGCAAGTAGGCAATTTAATTGCAGAATGGCGAAGGAGTTCGTAGGCATATGACAAATAACAGTGTGTATTTATTGATTTGAAGCTATGGCAGAATTTGAAATAAGCAAACAAGTAAATGGGCAATATTGATTTAAATCGCAATTTTGATGAAGTGCGATACGTGCTTAAAAGACAGCCACAGGCCAGTTTTAGTTTGTGGCACGTATTACGTACATATTACGTACATATAGCTCATCCTCAAAAAAAAAAAAAAAAAAAAAAAAAAAAAAACTGTAAGCAGGAAAGAAATTTCAACTTTTGCGACCAAATACTACTTTTCTGTTTCTTCCTTAAGATGCTATAAAGAAAGCAATTCTTCTAGAAACTTTCTAAATAAAATATTTCTTTCAAAAAACAAAATTATTTTTCATACGCTTATTACTTTACCTTCGATTTCTTTCCAAAAACGTTACTTTCGTATATTTAGATTCTTTTCTAAAATACAAGAAATGTTCATTTCAGAAAACTATCTTGTGCTTTACTGTTTCACCAAACTCTCCAGAAAGACGTTTTTTCTTTTACGCAAAAGAAAGAAAAAATGATTACAAGCACTATGAAAATGTAATAACATTATCTATGCATGCGCATCTTTTGCATGGACCTGTCTATCCTGATTGCCCTGGATGCCCTTGTTGCACGGCTATACAATATATTTCGTAGCCAGAAAACTAATTATGCATGCCATTATATGTCTTCTCACCTACCAGATCGATACCAGGAGTTGGTTCGAGGATTGCGTGGACCGAGGGGCTATCCAGGTCCTTCAAAGATAGGAAAACCTGGAAGAGCTGGTAAACCAGGAATTCAAGGTAGTTACGTATGTCAGTATAATTAATAAGCTTGTAATATAATTTATTTAAAAAATCATCTTGAGGAATCTTAACCGCAATACAAAGTATACCATGTTTTGTTTGGTTTATATCAAACAAGACCTATATCCTCTCTTTCATTTGCAGATTCCATCTTACTGCATTCCAAGAAAGTGATTTTTGCAAACAATTAACTGTAATCTAAGAAAAAGACACAGTGAATTTGCATTTTTTATTGAAGATAAATTTATTCAAAACACAGGGTTCTTCTCCACTTGCTATGAAGCCTAATAAACTAATCATAAGTATGAAATATTAAATGCATATGTTACACTTAACAGTGTGTATTAATCGATTCTTAAGGGGGCTCATACACCTTAAATCCCTTATGATCTCCGAATATGTGACTGTTGCAAAAATTGGGATATTTTATTTATTTCAGAAACATTACTTCCAAATTTTTACAGCTAACTACATAATATATAGCTGCTTTGGAAACTAGTATTCAGAAATTTTGTGTTGCCACAAATATTTTTGTAATTTAATCCGCTTTGTGACAAAATGTTTCGTCATGTTCCCACCTTGCGCGCATGATATTTTAAAAATGGCTAATGGTGCATACTTGAAATTTGATGGAATTCTTTATATGGGCACTATTTTCTAACTGAACCAAAAATCTGATGAATTTATTATTAAAAAATTGTATGCACAAAAACATTACATATTTTTGTTTAATAAAATACATTTTATAAACTCAAATCCAAATAAAATAAAAATTTAACATGAAATCTTAGAATTTTTGGTTCACATTAATTTCCAAATGCTATAAAAGCTATATATTAAATGTGAAATTAAATTATGCCACAGAATGTTCTATGCGCGCAAGATGGAAACATGACGAAAGAGTTTGTCACAAAGTGGATCAAATTATAAAAATATTGTGGCTACGTAAACTTTCTGATTACTATTTCAGAAAGCAGTTTAACTACGCAGTCAGCTGTAAAACGTTGCAAGTAATTGCTTTTAAAATAAATAAGTGTGTATTGAGAATACGGCAAAGCACACTAGGGCTATCTGCCTAAGGGGAGGGATGCCTTCGTGGAGGATTTTCTAACTGGCTCTTAAACAGGAAAAGGAAAACTGGCTCTTAAAATAAATAAGTAATCTCAATTCTTGCGACAGTCAGATATTCGAAGATCTTATGGGTTTAAGCTGTATGAGTCCCCTTAAGCGAAAGAAATACCATATGATTGGCAAACTTGTCTATGCATGGATTATTTAGCTTATGAAAAATCACGCAATAAGAGCTATCTATCTTCCTAAAAGGGAGGAATACCGTCATGGATGACGTTCTTATGGGAAACATAAATTAATATTAAACATGAATAATTTTATTCATGTTGAATATAGAGAAAACCATAGAAGCTTCCCATATAGCTAAATACTTGGCTAGTATTTGAACCTGCGTCGAATTACCAGTCACTTTACGATTCAGGCGATAGTTAGGTGCTTACCACAGGCCGGTAATGTCTCTGGATATTGGTAATTCAGCCGGGGTTCAAATCTCGGCGAACGTTCTGGTGAGTGGACGGTTTGTAATTTTGCTTTTGTGTAACGAGGATACGAGTCATTTTCCCTTAGAAAGTTATCCACGAAGACATCCCTCTCCTTAGGAAGATAGCGTGTGTTTTACCATAATTATATAAATCAAACATACGGTGATGTAAAGTATTTTATACAGTTAGTTTATTTTCAAAAAGTTCAAAGCAGAAGCATTAAATATGAATATCATGTTTCTATTAGTTTATTTTTCAGATCTGTTCATTATTACAGTTGTTTTCAGGGATGAGTAGAGAGTAAAGGATGGGCAGAGAGCATCTAGAACAGTTGCAGAAATCCCGTTCATAAAAATACAGCAAAGCAAAATCGTGCGAACAGCTTCTGTAGTTACAATACCCCTCCAATGTTATAGTCCTCCAAAGACCATCCTTTTATATTCTAAATGCTTTAATTACACTGTAGATAAATAATCATTATATTCTTTAATCATACCTGTAACATTTCATGATTGGTATTAGAGCTTGTAGAGACGAGAACCTGCTTGGAAATGAAAGACCAATACTTGTATAAGAAAATAGATGAAAACCCTTGTATCTTTACCGCTAGATGTCACAGATAACAGCAAACAGAATTTTCTTAGCTAGCGTCTACATTAGCGAATTAGTGATATTTTATTTTTTGTATTTCATTTTCATATTTTCTTTTAGTTTATTTCTCTCCGAAAGTCTTTAGTATTCCGTTAATAATACTCATTATCGGAAGAACTTATTATTATTAGATACATGTTTGTAAGCATTTGTTTTGGAATTATATGAGCCTAAATTGTGATGAGCATACAACACACAAAAATTATCTTAAAACCATTAATCGCAGCACTCATAAAAATATTACATTTGAAACACTTAAAGTTTACATATGCTACCTTTGAAACGCAAGTAGCGCAGCTGTCCTAACTAAAAACAATAAAAAAAATCTTAAAAAAAACCATTTAAAATTACGACGTATTGTTTGGTTAATGTGATGAGGGCAAAACACTCAAGGGCTATCTGACTAAAGGGTCTGTTGCCTCCGTGGAAGATTGTCCGACGGAAACAGGCTTGTATACACGTTAAACAATGCAAAAAGCACGAAAACGCCCATGGGGTTAGCCCGTTCGTCGGGAGTTGAATTCCGGATCGAACTACCAG